CCACAGGGCACCCCGGGAGGGGGGTGGCCAGAGCCCATGGGGCGCCCCGGGGGGTGGGCGTCCGGGGCCATCACCCCCGGCACAGCATGGCCCTTGCCCTACGCACCAGCACAGTTATGCAAGTGTCGCAGGGGACGAAGGGCTGCAGCTGGAGGCCTTTGCAGACATCCAAGCTGATGGTCGGACTGGGATAACACAGCCGCGGGCTGGCCTGTGGGTTAGGGGGAGCAGCTCATCAACGAAGGGCAAGCACAGGGAGGCGGATGCTGCTGGGCATGCCCTAGATCGGGACTGGCTCCGGCCCACCGAAGGCAGCTCACCTGGGAAATGAGAGGGATAAATCCAGCTTGCCACAGGGCCAGGCCTCCCCTGGCCTCCCCCCGAAGGAGCCTCCTGCCTGTCCCCCACAGCCAGGCATCCCCTGGGGCTGCCTGCACCAGGGCATGGCTACCGAGGGCTTGGGCTTGGGCTACCAAGGGCTTTGGGCTGGGGAGTGCAGGAAACCCCAGGGGAGGCTCCCCCAGACCTCACTCTGGATGAAAGAGAGGAAGCACTCGAGGGTGTCCAAGTGCAGAGCAACTTCCAAGGGCCTTTCAGAAAAAAATTAAGGAACTCAGGGAGCTGGGCATCAGGTCCAACAAAACGTAGTCAGAAAACCTGGCAGGGCTTTGATGAGGCAACAGGGAACAAGAGAAACCATCCGAGCACCGGGGGAAGGGGGCTCGGTGTTCAGGCAATGACCTGAAACTTCACAAGGAAGGGCAGAAAAGTGGAAACTGAGTGGCAAAGCTCGGAGGAACAGAAAATGCTCTTGCCAGGTCAGGGAGCCGAAGCCTGAGACAGATCGTAGCTAGCAGGGAACATGAAGGACTGCAAGAAAACCTTCAGGACAGAAGGTGTCAGCAGGAGGGCGCTGAGTCACCCAGGTGGCCACTGTCCTGCTGAGACCGGGAGGGACAGCAGAAGGTGACAGGACTCAAGTGCTCAGTGGGTCCTTCCCCTCAGCCTGCCCTGAGGAGTGTGGCTGCCGTCCCATGACTAACACCGCCATCAGCAGTGACAGAGGTGTGTGCTGGTGCTACGCAAGGGGAAATGTGGTCAGGTGGGCTGCAGGCAAGAGAGGGTGAGACAGAGCGGGCAGAGGATGGATGAGGTTTTGGAGAACAGGGAAAAGGAGTGACACAGTGCCTGTCTTTGAGAGGAGAAAACAGGGTGAAGAATTAGAGGCTGCTAAGCTCAACTTCAGAGTCCGAGAAAACCATGGACCAAACAGCCAGGTGCTCCCAGAGACAGCAGGGAAGGGGAAGAATCACAACAAAGACCCCCATGTACACACAGCCCTGCCAGGCTTCCTTCTCGGGCAGTCTTCGTGGGCAGGGTGGTGTCATCCACGCCTCCCTGCCTCTAACCATGCCATGGCCCTGGGCACTGCAACCACCCCGAGGGCACCAGGCTGCTCCCAGCACTGCCCCTGCCACGGCTGGCCGCTCCAGCCTGCCCCAACAGCTTTCTCCAGGGCCAGGCCAGCGTCACCCAGCAGCAAAACTCAGCAGGGGCTGGTGCAGGCTGTGAGGCAAAGAGGAAGCACAAGCGTGGCTGATGCCCAGCAAGCCCCAGCAGTTGCTCCCTGCAGGTGAATAACAGCGTGGTCACGCCGAGCTGGCTTTCCTGCAGCATCGTCCTCTCCCCGCCCCCAGCAAGCAGCTTTTATAGCTGTGTGTGAGTCTGGTTGTGAGAATCCCCTTCAGGCGCTGAGGCTTTGAGCGTTCTGGTCTCCCCCTGCTTTGTGCAGCCTCCTCCGTGCCATACTGCCGAGGTGTGGACAGACCTTGCCAGCCCTCAGCGCGCCCTCATGGCCTCCTCCCTGCCGGCTCCCTGCTGCTCTGCCGTCCTTGGGCTACTTGCCGCTTTGGTGGCCAGGACACCATGGCTTGGCTTCCTGGCACTACATTAACCTGCAAACGGAAGAGGGAGATGCCACGGATCCTAACTTTCTAGGCCTCTGACGCCCACTTCTGTGCAAGCCCATGCCCGTGCGTCAGCTGAAACGGCCGCGGGTGGTGCCAGCCGCTGGGAGGGCACTGGCAGTGCCTCGCTGCAGGAGGAGCGCGCCTCTGCTCTCTCCTGGCTCCATCCCCCACGCTCGCGTGGAACCAAAGCTGTGTCCCTGCTCTCTGGGTTATGCTGCCCTCGGGCTGGGGAAGGCTGCGGGGATGCTGCAGGGCACACGTCCGCCTTACAGCAAGAGCAACAAACAGGAAAAGTGGTCAGAAAAAGAGAAGAGCAAATTCAGTGATGTCAAACACATGGTCCTGCACGTAGGCAGGTACCAGCAACTGTGCGGCTGCGGGATGCGGAACTAATGATGTGGCAGCACTTCTGCAAACCAGAACCTGTGGGATGGGGAGGATCATGAGCCGAACATGTGTCAACAGCTCCAAGCAGTGCGACAAAAGGCAAAGAGCAGCCTGACGTACGCACGCAGGTGAGTTACGTGCAAGGCACATGAAACAGCCCTGACCTCATGGACCTGGCGAGCCAGAGACGCGCCCCCGGGCAGGCACGAGGGCACCAGCGGGGAAGGGGAAGGCGCCAGCTCAGCGATGGACGCAAGGGGAACCGGCCCCCGAGCGCCAGGGAACAGCTCTGCGGCCCGGGGCTGCCGGGTGCCGGGAAGCTGCAAAGGCGGGGGA